GGCGAGCCGGTCGCAGCTCGGGGGTAATTTCTTACCTCTGTGGGAAATTAAAGCGCTGAACTTAAGGGTGCAAAACCAAAAAGGTCACAGGAGGTGCAAGGGATGACTCCCTGACCCTTGGTGTGCCAGCTGCGGGAGTGGGTGAGGTTCCTGATGGTAGGACCCCAGCCAGTGCCTTCACCGTGCCTGGAGGGTGGAGAGGGCTCGGGGTTTTCAGCATCTTGCTCTTCTGCACCATACTGCAGGGGTATCCCTGAGGATAGCAGGCGTGGGTTTCTGAAGAGACTTTAGAGGGCCTGATCCTGTCCTGGCATGGTGGGGCATCATGCCAGGAGCTGAGAAGGGAGTCACCAGCCAAGCTCAGGTTGCAGAAACCCCACGCTGACACCCTGGGGGTGCATGAACCCCCCCCACCCCAGCGCGTTCGGATGTGCAGTGCTGTTTGGCAAAGGGAAAAAATGATAAGGATCATTCCTGGGAGCCAGCGGCCCCAAAACCCACGGGAGCGAGCTTGGAGGAGAAGTGACGCACCGGGAAGGGGAGAAGAGAGGAGGAGCCCAGGCTGCAGCGCCTGTCCGCAGCCGCCTTCTTGCAGGGAGAGTCCCTTCCCCGCGCTGGGGCTCAGCGGTGACCTTCGGGCTGGGGGCCAAGGGAAATGAACCCTGCGGAGTCTCCCAAAACCTTCCCAGAACGGTGGGAAAGGAGAGGCAGGGGGCACCCTTGCGTAGCCGGGGCATTGCGTGGTTGCGTGTCTCCCAGCCGGTGGCACGGGATCGGGCTGCGCTCCGGACAAAAGGTGGCCGGGTGGACTGCCGGCGTGGGTAGATGCTTTTATTTAAATCTCTGTCTTTGTCCCTTTGAGATGAGCAAACAAACCCTCTGCTCATCCTTGTAAAGGTCATCGGAGGCGTTCCTGCTTTTGTTTTGAACGCTGGATTGATGCCGGGGTGCAGATCCCTCAACGAAGGGACAAGGGGGGTGCCAGGGAAATGCAGGAAGGGAAATTAAAAATTGAAAGCAATTAATACCACACCTTCCTACCAGTAAATAAA